CACCTCCCATGCCACACTCCCCAGCTCTGTGGCCACCATGAGGACAGGGGTCCACATTCCTGGGACAGTGTGCTCGTGCCAGCAAGACTGATTGTTCTCAGAGAATCGTGGTCGTGTGTTCTGACCTCTTTGGGGGCTCCACGAGGGGCAGACTCAGGGGCTCCCCTTTGTTTCAGCTGCCTCAGAACTTTAAGGAGCTCCTGGGTGGCACTGTCAAGAGCATTTCAATGAAATATACCAGCAGCACCTGTCTGGGAAGGGATCAGCCAGAGGGGCCAGAGGGAGGCAGACCGAAAAGCCTGGGAAAGAAGATGCTGGGACATAATTGAGGGACGAAGGGCACTGAAAATCTCCTGTGCGCTGGGCAGTCTAAAGGCCATGCTGATGCCCACGGCTAACACCTGAGAGCACCATGTGAGTTGGCCTTCAGCACTGGCGCAAGGGCAAGTGAAGGGATGACGGAGTTAACTCCCTGCCTAAGCTCTGGAGCAGAGCACCAGCATGGGGGCGGGAGGTCTGCAGTGACTGGCAGAGCACCTCGTCGTGGTCTGGCTCCAGGCATTGCAGGAGCTCTCTCTCAAATCACAAGGGGCCCACTAAGCTAAAAGAGCAGACTTCAAGGGCACTCATGACAAAGACCCTTTACAAAAAGTTGAGAAAATCATTAAAGTAACACAATCCATATGAGTTGTAAACAAACAAACAAAACCCTGGAAAGGCAGAAGATTGTTGTTTGCAAAATTACCACATTGTGTTGCTCAAAATGTCCGGTATTCAACAACAAAAATAGAGTTATACAAAGAAACAAAGTACAGTTCATTTAGGTGGGGTGGGGGGTGGGTAAGGAAACTGAAGATACTGTCCCTAAGGAAGTGGCTTTAAAAGAACTATTTCAATGATGCTTGAAAATTGAAACCAGGAGGGGAGCCTGGGTGGCTTAGTTGGTTAAGCGTTCGACTCTGGATTTCTGCTCGGGTCATGATCTCAGGGTTATGTGATCAAGCCTCACGTCAGGCTCCGTGCTGGACATGGAGCCTGCTTAAGATTCTCTCCCTCTCCTAGAAAAAAAATGAAACCAGGAAGGATGCGCTTTTACCAAATCAAGAGTTTCAATACATAGAGATAAATTATAAAATGGAGTTAAATAAAAAATCTAGAGTTGAAAATTACAGTAGCTGAAACAAAAAATATATATATAAAAAGAGGGTTCCAGCACCGGACTTGATCAAGAGAAAAACTAATCCATGAACATGAAGACAAATCATTTGAAATGATCAGTCATGGTTTACGGATGAGCCAAAGATGGTCTCTGCATATCAGATGTGTGTTTTATTTCTTCACAGCAGACAGAGCCCTTTAGCTCAAAAACCCACTGTTGCCAAACTCAAATTTTTACACACTGGATTGTTTTAAACATAGCCCAAATTAGTAGATTTCATAGCTTAGCCATATCTTCTGTGCATGCCCTGTGGATCACCACCTAACATCTACTAACAGTAAATAAGATAGACCATGAATATCAGTGTCTCCAAGCCCCTGTCATCCATTCATAATTCTCTGGCTCAGAGACTCTATATCTTGCTATTGAGAGACATCATCTCCACAGGTAAGCAAGCGCCTTCTCCAACCCCTCTCCTCTGGGAAGTTTCTTTGTCATCCTAACTTTCTGTGTGGTGGACCTCTACTGTTACCACTGAAAGACATCATCCTATGAGGGACCACCCCATTCAGTCAAGCAGTCAGTGTGCCACCAAATAAATCTTGTTGCATGATCATAAAATTGTATGTTATCAGCCCTGTACTGAGGTCCCTTGATCTCAGTACAACTGCCCAACACACATTCATAAGTCAGTGGAGATAAATCCTACTGGGACATGAGCTCCTCTCAGAAGGGGGTGTGTGTGTCAATCTTAGGAGTCCCAGCACTAGCACAGGCCCCACCCACAGGAGTCACCAGGAGCCATTCCTTCCCTCCTGGTGACACTTTAGAACAGAGCATGTGATTCCTGGCTAAGCCACCAGCTGGGTCTCTAATAAGGTGGTTGCCCAGAATTACAATTCAATAAAACTAGAGCTTGGGGGTAGAACACGTATTGCCTTAGGCAGACAATAGAATTGGTTGCTCATCATCCTCACACATGACTTGATAACATGTTTCTACCCTAACTGTACCATAGAATCACTGGTGGAGATTTTTACAAAATGATGTGTCAGGTACCCTGCACTAATTATATATATTTTAAGAAAACAGCTTGTGTGGTGGCTAATAGGTTTAAGGATTTTATCCTACTGGAGCCCTATTTTCTGGTTTGTGGGGTGGGGTGGCGAACAGCTATGGTGCTTTCTAAGGTGACTGGAGGATGCATAAATCCAAAATTGTCTTAATAAGATATAGACTGTGGTCACAGAATCAACTCTTGCTCCTACTTAGATCAATTCAGGTGTTTGGGGACAAAATCCAAGGAGCTTTCTGGGGGCTGAGAGGGCAGAGCTGCCTCTCTCTCTGGCACCAAGCTGCTTCCAGTAGCAGAGACATAAGCTGAAGGGCCACCAAAAATTTTAGACTAGATGTCTTTGATAGTGCCTCCATGACCTTGCCTGACCAGCGTCATGAGCCTCTGAGAAACCTGGCAAATGGGGCTGAAGGTCACAGTTGTGCCACCACCAGGGCATGAAGGGAGACAGTGTTGGTGGGAAGTTGGAATGAGTGGAGCTGAGCTGTGTGGAAGGGACTTGGAAAAAAGGGAGACTCACAGAGTCTTGCTGAGTCTCTAACCCACATGCTGAGGAGTACAGAACTGAATCTACATAGAGAAAACTAGAACACCAACATTTAGCTTCTTTAGCAACAGGTTTTATTGTTCAAATATTTGCAAGTGTTGATCTATAGTAAAAGTTTAACTTCTTAAAAAATTTTACATTTAATATTGCCAGATCATTTTGTACTCCTATATTTTATGCCACATTTTTCATAATGAACCAGGGGTTATCCTCTGCACGAGTGCTATAGTGTTTTTAAAGTTGAGAGCTGTTGCTGAAAACATCCGTATTGTTATATTTATGGTATGAGCTCTGCCATGTCGTCTGAGGTCAGACCATGACTGAAGGCTTTGCCACACACACGGCACATGTATGAATTCACTTCCATACACAAATGTATATCTTGCCTGAGGAGTATGAGAACTGAAGCGTCTTCTCTAGTGATTACAGTCTGTTTCTTCAATATGTGCATCCTTTGGTGACTTCAAATGTTAAAGCTCTGACTGATATTTCTTCCACATTCATTGCATCTGTAATACCGTGTCATCTCAGGTCAGAATACTTACTGAAGACCCTCATGATTTTCTCTCCAATGTTGGATTCCCTCATGTCGTCTAAGGGAAGAATACTGACTGAAGAATTTCCCACATAGCTGACATTCATATGGTTGCTCTCTGGTGTGCGTTCTTTCATGGTGTCTAAGATTGAAATATTGACTGAAGGCTTTCCCACACTGGTGACATGCATATGGTTTCCTCTCCTGTGTGTGTTTTGTTATGTGGTCTAAGTTCAGCACATCGACTGAATGCTTTCCCACATAGAAGAGACACATGTGGCTTCTCTCTAGTGTGAGTTCTCTTGTGTTGGCTAAGGCCAGAGCTCTGACTAAAAGTTTTCTTACATTGATGACATTCATAACATTTCTCTCCAGAACGAATTCTCTCATGTTTTCTAAGGTAGGAACTGTGAATGAAAGCCTTCTTACATAGATGGCATTCACATAGTTTCTTTCTTATGTGAATTTTCTCATGTTGTCTAAGGTAAGAATTCTGACTGAAGACTTTCCCACACAGATGGCATTTATATGGTTTCTCTCCACTGTGTGTTTGATTGTGGTTTCTAAGGGCAAAGCTTTGCAGAAAGCCTTTCCCACAAAGATGGCATTCAAATGGCTTCTTTCCAGTGTGAGTCATCTTGTGTCTTCTAAGACTAAAGGAATTACTCAAGTCTTTCCCACATAGATGGCATTTATGTAATTTACCTCTAGTGTGAATGTGGTTATACTGAGTAAGGAATGATTGTTCACTAAGTGATTTTCTACACTGTTTGCTGAAATAATGTTTCTTCCTCAGGTGAATTAACAAAAATTGAGTCAATGCAGATATATGAGTAAACTCATCACCCAAGTCAGTACTTTCAATAGGATCTTCTGAAGCACGAGATTTATGCTTTGGGAAAGAAGATGAAAGGTTGTTAATGGTTTGCCAACATACTTCCATACATTTATTTCTCTACATATAAATTCTAGAGTAGTAGTTAGTAATATTCTCCAGTTGCATACACATCTTGTTACTCTCCACAGGCATCAGTATTTTCTCTTTTGTAGTATTCCAACCTCAGAGTTATCAGATTAATTCTGAAAACTTCAGTATGTTTCAAAGACTAGGAAATGGTGGGGAAAAGATGGCAGAGGAATAGGGGACCCTATTCCAACTGGTCCCCAGAATTAAGCTGGATATCTTCCAGACCGTTCTTAACATCCAGGAAATCAGCCTGAGATGTAAGAAGTTAGAGCTGGATCTCTATAAACAGAATATTGCAGGTGGTTGGTTTCAAGGTATGAAGCAGGGAGCCGTGATTCTGCAGGCAGATATTGGAGGATAAACAGAAGGGGGAGGGAGCCAGCCATGGGGATCCTACACCACCGGTGAGTGATAGCCTCCCACACTGGGGACCGGGCACAGACTTCCTGACAGGTAGCAATGGGGAAAGGACTTTAGGGCAGCACCCCCAGATGGAAACCCAGAGCGGTGGGGCTATGCATGTGAACTGGGGGCAGCTGGCGGGTTTAGAAGTACAAAGGGCAGAGATGAGCCCCAACCCGGAGGCGAGGACTGGGAGTGCTGCTGAGGGGCGTACAACCCAGGACGCTGCAGTTTATAGCAGCAGAGACAGAAACAGAGATAATGTGTCCTGGAGAGCTCACTGAAGAACAGACTGTGATCTCTCTGCTCTGGGGCAGAGGGTTGGAATGGTCTCTTCTGCTCTGACTCTTGGAAGAGATGGGGAAAGCCATCAGGAAAAGCCACCAGAGAACAAAAGCCCCCCAAAACCGATTTTCCCTGAGCCATCCCCCACCACAGGGGGCAGGACAACTCTGCCCAAACAGGTTTGCCTGAGTAACAGCACAGCAGGCCCCTCCCCCAGAAGACAGGCTGGGAAAACAAGAGGCCAGCAACCCTAAGGTCCCTAGAAAACAGGTGCATCTTGCTTGGGTTGTGGTCAATAATTGGGAATCTATATATTCCCTCAACCACCCCTCAACAGAATGACTAGGAGGAGGAACCCCCAAAATAGGAAAGACTCAGAGACTATGACTTATGCCACAAATTTACAAATGGATTCAGATATAACCAAGATGTCGGAGATGATATTCAGGCTAGCAATTGTGAAGAAAATAGCTAGAATGAAGAAATCAATTAATGGCAACATAGAGTCTCAGGGCAGAAATGAAAGCTGAATTGGCAGAATTTAAAAATGCTATCAATGAGATCCAATCTAATCTAGATAATCTAACAGCCAGGGTAAGCGAGGCCAAAGAACGAATTAGTGACCTAGAAGACCAATTAATAGATAAAAAGGGTAAAGAAGAAGCCAGGGAAAAACAACTCAGAATCCATGAAAATAGAATAAGAGAAATAAGTGACACCATGAAACGTTCCAATGTCAGGTTTATTGGAATCCCTGAGGGGGTGGAGAGAGAGAGAGGACTAGAAGATATACTTGAGCAAATCGTAGCTGAGAATTTCCTAATCTGGGGAATGAAACAAACATTCCTGTCCTAGAGGCAGAGAGGATCCCTCCCAAGATCAAGAAAAAGAGGCCAACACCCTGGCATGTAATAGTAAAACTCACAAATCTTAGAACCAAGGAAACCATCTTAATGGCAGTTAGGGGGAAGAGATTCCTTACATACAGAGGGAGGAACATCAGAATAACATCAGACTTATCCACAGAGACCTGGCAAGCCAGAAAGGGCTGGCAAGACATATTGAGAGTACTAAATGAAAAGAACATGCAGCCAAGAATACTTTATCCAGCAAGGCGGTCATTTAGAATGGATGGAGAGATGCAGAGCTTCCACGACCGGCAGAAACTGAAAGAATATGTGACCACTAAGCCGGCCCTGCAAGAAATATTAATGGGGGTTCTATAAAAGGAGAAAGACCCAAGAGTGATCTACAACAGAAATTTACAGGGACAATCTATAAAAACAAGGTCTTCACAGGCAACATGATGACAATTAATTCATATCTTTCAATAATCACTCTCAACGTGAATGGCCTAAATGTTCCCATAAAATGGCACAGGGTTTCAGATTGGATAAAAAGACAGAACCCATCCATATGCTTCCTACAAGAGACTCATCTTGAACCAAAAGGTACATCCAGACTGAAAGTGAAGGGATGGAGATCCATTTTCCATGCCAACGGACCTCAAAAGAAAGCTGGGGTAGCAATTCTTATATCAGACAAACTAGATTTTAAACTAATGACTGTAGTTAGAGAAACAGAAGGACACTATATCATTCTTAAAGGGTCTATCCAACAAGAAGATCTAACAATTATAAATATCTACACCCCCAACATGGGAGTAGCCAACTGTTAACCAAAATAAAGAGTCATATTGATAACAATACGTTAATTGTAGGAGACCTCAGTACTCCATTCTCAGCAATAGACAGATCATCTAAGCAGAAAATCAACAAAGAAACAAGAGCTTTGAATGACACACTGGACCAAATGGACCTCATAGATATATACAGAACATTCCACCCTAAAACAACAGAATACTCATTCTTCTCAAATGCACATGGAACTTTCTCCAGAATAGACTACATACTGGGTCACAAATCAGGTCTCAACCGATATCAAAAAATTGAGATTATTCCCTGCATATTCTCAGACCATAATGCTTTAAAACTGGAACTCAATCACAAGAAAAAATTTGGAAGACATTGAAATACTTGGGAAGCTAAAGACCACTCTGCTCAAGAATGTTTGGGTCAACCAGGAAATCAAAGAAGAACTTAAACAATAATGGAAACAAATGAGAATGGAAACACATTGTTCCAAAACCTATGGCTTACTGCAAAGACAGTCCTAAGGGGGAAATACATAGCCATCCAAGCCTCACTCAAAAAAATAGAAAAATCCTGAATTCACCAACTAACTCTACACCTTAAAGAATTAGAGAAAAAGCAACAAACAATGCCTAACCCATGCATTAGGAGAGAAATAATTAAGATTAGAGCAGAGATCAATGAATTACAAACCAGAAACATAGTAGATCAGATCAACAAAACTAGAAGGTAGTTCTTTGAAAGAATTAATAAGATCGATAAACCACTGGCCAGACTTATCCAAAAGAAAAGAGAAAGGACCCAA